GGAGAGGAGATACAAGTAAAATTGATAAACACATTTCCAAAAGCGATCATAAAAATATGCAGACCTAAACTATAAAAATTCTTTTATAAAGAGGCATTTGTTTCTTAGAAAAATAAAAATAGAAAAATAGTACAGGAAATGATAAATAGGCAATTCACAAAAGAAACACAAATAAATATTTTAGAAAGTATTTAAATTTTCACCACTTAAAAATTAGCAAATACTTAATTACAAGGAAAGGTAAGATGGACAAGCCATATATTTTGCTATTTGAAAGGCAAACCAATAATACATGTCAAAAGCTTTTAAAACAAACAGCATACTTTTGACTAACCGACTCTACTTTTAGGAATTAGGATAAAATGAGAAAGGCAACGACTCTAAAGCAAAATTGATTTGCAAAATAGTTTACATCAGCATGGTTCAGAATAGGTTAAGAATTTTTAACATAAATACTCAACAATAGGGGATCAATTAAACAATTATGATTCAGAATACTGTCTAGTCATTTAAAATGATGTAAAATATTTAAATATTATGAAATTCATAACATTCTAAATAAAAGTACCAAGTAATTTAAAAGATCCAATTTTTATACATAAAAGCACCTGTTAACCTATTCTTCTCATATTCATTGTTAATCTTTTGTTGTATATTCTCCATATTCCTTATATATGAACAGACATTTAAAAGACAAAAACTGCATCAGTTTTTTGTTTACCTCTCCTACTCAGCCTATGCAAATAAGCTAAATAACATTGAGAATATAGAAGTGCTGGTTCTCATTTAAACAGAACAAAGGACAAAATCCTTAATAAAACATAATATCAGAGACTAAAGATGGGTTAGGTTACAGATGTGCTGATTTAAATGACAACTAAAAGCAACATGAAAACCTGGACTGGATCCTGAATCAGAATAAATTTTTTTTTTCTTTTCTCGAGGGAATTATTAGATAATTGGCAGTATCTAAAATGAAGTATATAGATAAGACCATTATTATATCCATAAAATTTTCTTGATTCTCGTAACTATACTGTGGTTATGTAAGAGAGTGTCCTTGACTGCAAGGAAATTCACACAAAAGTATAAGAAGTGGTATCCTATCTGCAACTTACTCTTACAACAGTTCAAAAATAATAACAGGTATATATCTTCCTATATACTATGTAAAATATATATTTACATGTGTATGTGTATACACATATACATATATAGAGAGAATATGATATGTAGTAAAATGTTAACATTTGGACAATCTGCATGAAAGATGGGTGGGAGTTCTTTGTATTCTTAGAACACTTTTGTGTCTGAAAGATTCCAAAATAAAAGTATTTTTTTAACACCAAGGGGGAAAAAGTGTCGATTTAACAAAATTGAACATCATTCATTCATCCAATAAACATTTACTGAACACTTGCTGCAGGTTAGACAATAGTAAACAGCAGAAAACACGCTAAATAAAAATCCCTGCCTTTATGTAGCTTACATTACACTTGGGGGAAAACAGACAATAGGCAAATAAGTAAGTAAAACAATGTAATACATTAGATGACATTAAATTCCATGGAAAAAGAGGAAAACACACACACACACACACATGCACACACACGCGCGAGCGCGTGCATGTGCGCGCGCGCAGAAACAGTTAAGTCCTATCAGGTAGAGGTGGGGAATTTGCAATCTTTAAAAATTAACAAATTACTCAATTAACAATGAGTAATTTGTAATACCATCTTTAGGAGAACCCTCAATGAGAAAATGCCATGTGAACAGAAACTACAAGAAGGAAGAGAGGTAGTAACTCTGTCGATATGTGGGACAGAAAAAAACAGCAACATTCTGAAACTGCCCTGAGACACGAAGCAAGCCTGACAGGTTTGAGCAAAACAAGCATCTGATGGCAGCTTAGACTAGTTGTGTACTAAAGAATAACTGACGCAATTCGCAAAAAGAGTAAACAGGATTTGCTTACCAACTGAATACAAGCTGAGAAAGAAAAGGATCATGAACGACTCCAATGTTTATAGCCTGAGCAACTACAGAGATGAAGTTGTCATTATGGAACAGGTAAGCAGGGAGAGTTTGGTTTGTAAACATCTTGGGTCCATTAAATAACTAAATGAAAATGTTCAATGGGCATCTGCATGAGTCTACAATCTAGAAGTAAGGTCGAGCACAGAGATGTAACTCTGGGAGACATCAGCTTAGTCACGAGATTGGATGTGATCACCAAAGGATTAATGTTTGTAGATAGAGATAATGATGTCCATTATTTACCAATACAATCATAAAGTTATAAATATGATACTATATAGTGCTTATTTAGAGATCATTACTTGGGCAGAGTTACAATAACAAATATTAATTAGGACAACTGCGAAATAAGGGTGGTTTAATGGAGAAAAAGTTTCTGAAATAATAGCATATTAAAAGGAAATATTGAGATGGCCTCTAAAAATTACATGCCTCCTAAGAATTTAGAAATTAAAAAAAAAACTGCCTGTAAGAAAAAGTCCTTATACTATTTGTTTTCATTTGACTAAATGAATAAAACCAGAGATAAAAGAAGACCCCTTAAAAAGGAATAAAAGATAATAGGTAAAGCTTTTTTTAAAAAAGTAATGAATAGTATTAACATAACTAAAACACAAGCATTATCAGTTGAAACTTGACATTATTCAAGATGGAGCTAGTTGACAGAAAATGTCCAATCACTGAAGAACAGTACCTGGAGCAGGACTTTAATCCAATCATTGTGACAATTACATCTCTCAAGATTACTTAACAGCATGGCATTTTGGCTTCCTTAAGAGAAACAGTGTGGGAATTTAGAATATGAATTCAAATCCTAGCTTTGCCATTTACTTACTGTGTGACAAAATGCTACTTTTTAACTTTATTTTCTACACTGTAAACTGCATATAAGACCTATTTCATGGCACTGATGTGAGGATTAAAAGACATAAAAAGCACCAGGTCAATGCAATGCCCAAAGTAGAAATTCAGGAAGTTGTGTTGTGTTGTTTCCTCAAACAAGAAACGGGCCTGACTGAATTAGGTGGAAGTACAGACAGCCATGTGAACTAATGAGTGTGAATATATGGACTGAAGTATAACTAAAGCAAGCCTCTAGAATGTTACTATCCTATCCCGGTCAACATTTTTTCCAATTCTATAAACACAGCATGAACATGTACTATTTACCTACTAGATTATGTTGCAGCAATTTCACTAAAATTTAAATCATATTTCCTACCACAAAAGAACTAAGAATTTGGGTACACAGCTCCTTTTCAACAAGCACAGCATTACAGGGATTCAGCTGTACACACATCAAAATTATGTAAGTTCTAAGGAATAATACAACAGCCTGCTGAAGGGGTGATAAATTCTCTTCAGGGAAAAAAAAAAAAGCTCTCTTCAAGGAGACAGCACTTAATCTGAATTCTGTAAGTGAAGATTTTCAACGAGGGGAGAACAAATTCAAGCAAGCAATTATGTGAGCAGTTCATTCTTCTACTTAAGCAAGTTTAGTCTTATTTCCAAATCTGCAGCTATAACCTGTGATATCCAGTATAACAACGTAATCTATCTACAGTCTCAAAAAAAGAAACAACAACAACAAAATCACAGGGTAGTAATGGGAACTAGAATAGTCCCCAGTTTCCAAAGTCCTTCACTTTTCCCAAAATGTTTTTGTAAGGACTATTGTACCACCAAATACCTCTATGAATAAAGAGGTAATATAAAAAGTGATTATAATGCGTATCTTTTCCCTCATAATTTTTTTCCTTTAAATATAAGTGAGGGATAAAAGCAAGTTGGTAGCAAAATGGAAGAAGTGTTCCTTTCACCTTTTTTTTTTCAGGTTGGCCTCGAAATATAACTAATTAAAAATTCTGACAAACAGAAAAAATGACTGAACAACAAAAAATAGTCTTGAGTAACTCACTACAAAGGACATATACACAATAACTGGTTAAACAAACAACTGTAAGGGATGGATTATATTTGCATCATGATTCTAATCAACAAACTGCATTTTAAAAATTATAACATTTATGACATGATTATAAATGTAAAACTGGTTATTTGGTAATTTGTTAATATAATATTGTTATGTCAAGGTATGATAATGGTATCGTGGTGATATTAAAAAAAATATAGACAAAGTACGCCCTTATTTTTTTTAGCAATACATACTGAAATATTTACAGGTGGAATGATATCTAGGATAACCTTTAAAATAACATGGTAAGGAAAGAAAGGGAGAAGGAGTGAAGAGATTAAACAAGATTGGCCGCGACTTGATAACTACTCAAGCTGGGTAATGGGCATATGGGGAAGTTCATTATACTACTGTATCTCCTATAAAAGAATGATAAGATTTTCCATAAGAACTTACATAACATAGAAAAAAAACTGAATAGCAAACAACATTACAAAAATAAGTGTAGAATATTATAAGCCTTAACCCCTCGACGGACAGATACTACTATCTCTGACAGCTTACACAAACTTAAATGATGACTGATGCTCTTAGAAAACATAAAGATATCCCTCAAAGAAGGGTTACCTAGAGCTCTTCTAAACTTCTCAATCGTCTATTAGTGAGAATGTATACTGAGACCCGAAATCCCAAACTGGTACTACTAAAACACACACTTAGGAGCTCATAAGAAATCAGAGAGCAACTGAAAAGCAGGAAATCTTTACTAACTACATCTTATTCATTGTTAATCACCTCCTCTATGCCTTCATATGGACTGCTATTTATTTGTAGAAGTATGGAAAGAAAAAAACAAAGATACTATAATTTCCTTTCTCTGATCATTGCCAAGACAATTCATACAAAGCAAAGTTTCCAAACTCTATTGTGTCACTGAAATTTTTAAAAAGTATTAACAGTACTAGTACTAGAATTAACAAACAGCTCATACCAAGCCCATTTACATGGTCACCATTAAAGAAACAAAGAAGACAAGCATAATACATACTGGAGGCCGGCCAGGACGACCCCTTTTTCTTTTTCCTTTGACCTCTGTTTCTTCAAGTTCGCTGCCAGCATCGGAATGGGCAGTAGTTTCATTAGTTGAATCCCTAGAAAATGTTATATTATTTTAGTGAACAAATGAATTAATAAATACAATGCAGTTGTTTCACTACTTTCCTTAAGCAAACCAAAAATGTTTTCCTCCCTGCTTAATATCACATAACATGGAGTGAAATGAGTTCCCCGAATAAAGAGGAAATGACTATGGAAATGGCAACTGCTATACAAACTATGAACACAAAATACAATTGCAAAAACCTAATTCTTCATTATAAAAAAATAAAGCTTTCTGAGTTTTACTCATTTTATAAAATCATGAAAAGCCAGTGGTATCCTGATAAATGTTTAACAACTGGCTCTTCAAAAAACTATAAACATGTCAGTTATAAATGTTGCTGATATGGAGGACAAATATAGCACACAATTTGCAAACAATAATAAACATACAATACTCTCGATCATAAATTCCATACAGCCAATTGATTCTCAAAAAAAGATTCTGATACTTTTTGCCAAACTCTCATATCAAAATCTAACCTATGGTTGCAACTGATGAGTGAATATGAGTTTTGACATGAAAGATGGTTCCTATTTTTGTTCACTTTAACGAACAGGGTGCAAGTGAAATGATAAAGACATTTGTTGGAACTTCACTCATTAGTCAGAGATGTGAGCAACTTCTCTGCTGAATTGGGTAATGGTTATCAAATACTGGAAGAATACTTCAATTTTATGCGTTATTCATAATGTAATGGCTACAGATCATATGCTACACCTTTAGGTTGAATCTGTATTTTTTAATAATTTATCACTTTAAGTCCGCAGACAATCAACAAAACAATAAATTAAGCCCTGATTTACAGCATTGGATGATTTTAATGGTGTACATCCTTCCACCATAGCTAACTTCACACGACCAAAGTGGTATCACCAAACCGAGTCACATTTCCATCATACAGATACAAAAGGTGTGTAAGACCAGATAAAAAAGGTGTAAATAACAACCTCAAGTGCATAGATAACAGCAACATGTAAAATAAGAAGTGATGAGTTTTGAATGTTTATTTTATTTTTAATATGACTTATTTAATTTTAAGCTTATATAATTTAACTTTTTATAACGGCTATGTTGTGTTTAACTGGCTTGCAAAATTTCTGAAAATCTAATATTCAGCTCTCACAGGACAATACAGGCTGGCTTCAACACAGCACTGAAAAGGTATAGATAGTATAAACAAGAATCTCTTCACTAAATTCTACATTACTGACTTGATTAAGGATCTACATAAAATTGCATATAGTAGGAAGGGTACAGAGAAAATGGTAAGTGTAACTCACAATCTATTATTTCTCAATCTGCTTCACTGAATGCCCTTCTTAGGCCCATTCCCTCTTTGTGTTGATTCCTTAAAGCTCTATTCTTAGTGTCTGCTCTTCTCCCTTTACACTACACTCCCAAGGAGATCTCATCAATCTCATCTGTAACTTCTATAAAAAAGACTTCAATATCCTATCAGTACACCTGACCACATTCCATATCTCTAACTCAAGATTTTTTTTTTTAG